AACTTTAAGGGAATGTTCCCCACTCATGTACGAGCAAAATCAGGTGTTTAGAAGCGCTCGAGCCCATGTACGAGCGCGTGGAGATTTTGGCACGAAAATTACTATCCCGGGAACGGAAAAAGCTTGAAAGCTGAAACTTTGAGGGACTGTTCTCTACTCATGTACGAGCAAATTAGGTGCTTAGAAGCGCGCGAGCCCACATATGAATGCGTGGAAATTTTGGCGCGAAAATTACTAACCCGGAAACGGGAAAAGCTAAGAAGCTGAAACTTTAAGGGAATGTTCTCTAATTATGTACGACCAAAATCAGGTGTTTAGAAGTAGTCATGGCCCAGGTACGGGCACGTGAAAAATTTGGCGCGAAAATCACTAGCCCGGGAACTAATGTCCCCGTAAGGGTTTTAGATTCAGCTCTTTAAAACCGTCCGGTACTCACGTACGGACACGTGAAAATTTTGATGAGAAAACTGTTAACTCGGGAACGGTAAAAGCTGAAGGCTTTAGTTTTAAGGGAATGTTCCATACTCATGTGCAGCTGAAAGATTTTAAATTTAACTCTTCTAGTGTGGCTTTTTTGCGGACCAGCAACTTTCCATTGAAGTCGGCATCTACAACTGATTCACCACATAGTTGCGCAATTAACTTCTCGAATTTCGAGGGCCAGCATGTCACAAGGTTAACTACTGTGATTCCTTGCGATCTTGCTGCGGCACGAAAAGTGCAAAAACGCATATTCGCACCGGCCTGCCTGGTGCGTTCCAACCTGAGTTAACTAAGAGCACTAAATCAGAAGTTCCCCTGTCTTGTTAAACTTTAGTCATTCCTATCTGTCTTTCTATCTATCCGCTCTCCATAAAAAATCTACCATTTGAAGATGCATGAAGAGGCTGTACATGCAATAGTTTCGACAGCTAACCGGAGACAGTTAATTCTAGAAGACAGGGGGACCTAATATAACTACACTTAGCGAATGTTTGCAGCTCATTAACTATCATCTTTTCTTACAATACTCTCTAGCAAAAGTTCTTATTATTCCAAAAAATCAATTTTCCTGCTTTCTGGGCAGTGCAGACTAAAAGTAGTATGAATACTTTTAGCATGATTATTGTTGTCGGTAGGACCCCTGTCCGTACAGATCTATTGTTACTGACATGCATCACATGCCCAACGTGATTGCATCAGGTCGCTGATCGGAATTTGTTGCTCCCAGTTATCTCCATCGCTTTATCGGTTCATTATCTCTTTGGAGACTTTTTTAATCCGAGCGCTGAATGGAGTAAGTTAACCTCGTAAAACTGTATTTTTGCCGCGTAGCGATGGGGTGCCACAATTCGCAGCAGCTGTTAGCTCATAACTGGGACCAAGTGTGTAGCGGAACGGGATCCACAAATGGTTTTTTCAGTACCTTCTGCACCACTAATCGTAACTTCGGAATGTGCAGCTGAGAATAATTCTGTAACGATCGTCTGGAAATCTCAGGCTGATGGATGTGCTGTTGATGGTTACATCCTGGAAATTGATTCCGGCTCCGGTGATGGATTATTTAAGGTTAGCTTTATAAGTGAAAGTCCATCGAATAAGCGACATACGAAATATTGCTGTACAACTGAGTTGAGAGCACTTTGCAGTCTTTACTGACTGCTAGTGCGAACATGGTACACATAAGATAATTCAAGTAGTAACGCGAGCCAGGATTTCTAATGCGATCACGCGTCTTTGCAGATCTGAAATTTCTGCTGTAGCCTTATAGGAAACACCAGTGTGCATAAAGATGCTATTACGTTTTTTGTGCCAGCTGAATCAGGTATTATCGTATTTTTATGAAATTTCAGCTTTCTTGCATGCTGAATGCTGAGTGCAGGAAGGTATCATTGCAGTTTGAACATTTGATTTTTCTGCACGTGGGGCACATGCATAAGCAATCACTGGCGACGCGCATCGGGTGGGCCCGTGCGATCATGCGTTTTGCAGTATTTCATGCTGTAATGAGATCGCTCGGAACCCAGCAGACAGAAATATGTGATATACTAGTCCACAGAGTCCGGAAGCTAATAATTCACGCACTATTTGGACAGAGAACATTCCACTGAAATTTAAGCTTTCCAAATTTCCTGGTTCTTGAGTTAGCAATTTTCCTGCCAAAAATTTGCACGGGGCTGTACGTAAGTACTACACACACTGAAGGGCTTAATTTGATAATTGTAAGTTGTGCTTGTGCTAGGAATACTCGCTGAAGATTTCAGCTCCCCACCTTTCCTGGTTTCCGAGTTATCCGTTTTCCCGCCAAAAAAATTCTATGAGGCTGTACGTGGGAAACACGCACGCCTGAGGGCTGAATTTGATAAATTTGTGTTGTACATGTACTGGGAACATTCGCTGGAAATTCCAGCCTCCCAGCTTTACTGGTACCCGAGTTAGCCACTTTCCCGCCAAAAACTTCCACAGGGTTGCACGTGAGAACTGCATGCACCGAGAGGCTGATTTGGTAATTGTCAGTTGCACTTGTGCTGGGAATATTCCCTGAAAATTTCAGCCTCCAGCTTTCCTGGTCCCGAAGTTAGCGGTTTTCGCGCCAGGTACCCTCACGGGGCCATACACGCGAATACCTGGGAGCTGAATTTGAAATCTTTGAGTTCTTTGTGGACACGGGACGCAACTTCAGAATTTCAGCTTTCTAGCTTTTCTAGTTCCTGAGTTAGCGATTTTCCTCTTGTACTTCCACCCTCTTGTGCGCGGGACCTAGGCTTGCGTGAGGATTGGTACCACGGTCCTGGGGTGGCGCTTGGCCGGGGAATCCACTCGCAAAATTTTGGCGCCGGAGCTTGCTTGAGTGCCGAGTTGAAATACCCGGGCAGACGCACACACACACGCACACACACACGTACACACACATACACACATACACATACACACGCACACCGGGGTCGTCACAATGTGTGTTTTTGCATATATACAAAAACACATAAAAATACTGTTTTCTGCCCATTCTGTTACCGGAAAGATTGGTTGCCAACTGTATCCCAAAGTAAACACTTCATTTGCGCGCGTACGAGACCTATGCATTCTTTAAAAGTGAAATTGAAATATTCAGAACGTATATTCGCATGGTGCAACCCCGTAGAGACCTGGTCTTAGCTGACTGGCGAAATCGCTTTTTGATACAAACATTTTTTGCGTGCCAAAACGCAACTAGTACCCGGGAAAGCAAATATTCTCGTAAAATTGGGATGATCTGTTCAGCTAAGTTCTCCAGTTAATGTACCAGTATATTTCACACATTGATAGAGTATCCATGAGAAATTTCTGCTTTTTGTTTATTGGGTTTCCGAAGTCAAAATTTTGCGTGTCTTTTTTTGGCACTGAAGATCCGGACGCATATGGACGGTAACCCTAAAACGGGCAAATAACATACAAAACAGATAGGTATGGTATAACTGAAATATCATCTGGTTATGCATTTTTGAATGTGTTCAAATGCAGGAGCGTATTTTTGACGACCTTAGGCACTTTAACGGTGTGCGGGTGTGTGTGTTTGCGGTATTTCAACTCGGCAACCAGCTCCGACGCTAAAATTTTGCCAGTGGATTCCCCAGTCAAGTGTCGCTCCAGGACCGCAGTACCACCTTTACGCACTTCTGAGCCCTTGTTTGCGATCACGTGAAATTTTTGCCAGGAAAACCCCCAAATTGGGAACCAGAAAAGCCGGAGGGCTGAAAATTTAAGAACTTTTCCTCATCCACGTTCAACTTATGGATTTCAAATTCAGCCCAGCCCCAGATTTGCATGCTTCTCACGTACGGCCCCGCAAATTACTAACTCGGGAATTGGAAAAGCTGAAAAGTTGAAATTTTGATGGAATGATTTTTTTGTCCTAATATTAAGTATTGCTCAATTAATTTCCTGAACTTCGAGGGCCAGTATGTTACAAATTCTAGCTGTTGGATTCCACGCAATCTTATTACAGCACGAATTACTGCGAAAACGCATATTCGCCCAGGCCCGCATGGTGCAATGATGTTTATGCAAAAATTACGGTAATTTACATTAGAAACGGCACAACTTAAGTGTAAAACAGCAACCATTCGTACTCCAATTTTAGCAAAAACGCATGTTCGCTTCGACAAGCCGCCTGCGCTACATCGTAGGGTTTTTTGTTTTGGTCGAGGACTTGTTCTTCTTTTTAGACGAATGAAAACTACTAGCTTAATTTTACGCCTAGTATACTAAATTTTGTACCAGCACTAAATTTTTTATTTCTTCAGCCAAATGCTTCGTTTATTTTGCTAAATTTTTACGTCACGCCTCTCTGCTTTGCGCGTTTCTGTGGTGCAACACTGTAGTGCTGTCACAGTGAACAGAAACATATATTGTCAGGAGACCGTCGGATTGTTGTGTTTGTTTGTATGTATGTATTTGTGTACGAGTATGTGTGTGTGCGCGTGTGTGTGTGCATCTTTGTATGTGTGTATGTGACCTGTGTAATCCACCTTCAATTTGAGAACTTTTGGAGCATGTTCCTAGTTCATATGTAACTCATCTGCTTTGAAACGATCGTTCACATGCGCTTGGATCTCACATATGGACATCGAAAGGGAAATATGTGAATTTTTTAACGGGGAGCATTTCGGGACTTAGCCAGCGTAGGAATCTGAAATTTTGCTAGGATATTCCTTGTTCGTATGTGAGCAGAGGATATTTCCTGCCCATCTGTGTAAATGACAGGGAGCCGAAATTTTATAGGAATTTTACCTGCCCATGTGTGAGCTTTAGCTTCAGCTCTAGCTCACACATGGGCAGAGAGCACTCAGATTTCAAATTCATTTCTTTCAGATTCATTGCATTTAGGGAACCTTCAGATTTCAGACTCATTTATTATGCGCGTGTATGTCACTTATGCGGAAAGGTCAAATTTCTTCACGGATGCCGTGCCTAATTTGAAAATCATTGGCAACGCGCATCGGGCGGGTCCGTGCGATCATGCCTTTTTGCAGTATTTCATGCTGTGGTAAGATCGCTCGGAAACTTAGTAGCTAGAATGTGTGACATACTGTTCCTTGAAATTTGGGAAGTTAATTGTACAACTACTTGGTACTTAGGCAGGGCACATTCGGTTAAAATTTCAGCTTTCCAACTTTTCTGGTTCTCTTGTTAGCAATTTCACTTCCAAAACTTCCATGGGCCATACATGACCTGGGAGCATAGCTGGGATCTGAGTTTAAAATCTTTGAGTTGTACGTGGCTGGGAACATTCCCTTAAAATTTTAACCTCCCAGCTTTCCTGGTTCCCAAGTTAGCGATATTCGCGTCAGGAACTCTCACGAGGCTATGCGCGGGAACCACGCACACCTGGAAGCTGAATTTGAAATCTTTGAGTTCCAGGTCGATGGGAGACAACCACGAAATTTCATCTTTCTAACTTTTCTGGCTCTCCAGTTCGTGGTTTTCCCGCCAAAACTTTCGCCTTCTCATACGTGGGCCCAGACTTGCGTGAGGGTTGATGCCGCGATCCTGGGGTGGCATTTGGCCGGGGAACTCCTCGGCAAAATTTTGGCGCCGGAACTTACTTGGTTACCGAGTTGAAATACCCGGAGAGACGCACAAATACACACATACACACACAGGGGACGTCACATTATGTGTTTCCGCAATTTACTTGTAAGCAAAAACGCATAAAAAGGATAACTGAAATTTTTCGAGAATGTTTATAAGTAATGTGAGGAATCACACACTTAAATTTAGTTTTTTACAGCACCTGCGTCATGCGTTAGGGCACATCAGAAGTGCAGCATGCCGTGGTAGGTATAGTGAAGTGATGGTTTCGGGAATCAGACAAGCTAGGAAGCTGAAACTTTACAAGTTTGTCCCTATGCCTATGTGTGACATGAAGATTTAAAACTGAGCTACGAAGGACATCAAGATCTCGTGCTGTACGTATCAGATTTTGTATCCATTTATTCCAGAACCACATTAAGTAGAGAGTCGAAGTTCTGTGACAATTTTGACCTCTGACCCCTGGCTTAAATTTGGGCTTTCCTAACTAGAAGAATAAAAGAGATGCATTCCTGAGAATTTCGGGAAGGTCTGTCCAACCGTGTACGAGGCTAAAAGTCTGTAAACTGACTGTCAATTCACCTTCTGCCCAAACATTTGGTCCTAGCCTCAAGTACAGGCAAATCCTTGACTCAGGAATCAAAAAGCACGTGATCTTGAAATTCTCTAGAAAAGCTTTTTGATTTAGTGGCAATGATATGTGAGGCAAAAAATTCGGAACATTATATCTCTTTTTTTGCTTTAAAATATGATTTATGTTCAAAATTCGTCGAGACAGAGAAAACTAAGACTTTAAAATTTTGCAGTTTAATTCGTCCTACATTGACTTTCGTAAAGACAATAATATGCTTTGCTCTATTCTTAGCTAGAAATTCGCAGAATCGGTAAGCAAGCGCATCCCGAATTATGCTCACTGACAAGCTTTGTTACTGTTTTTGAATGGTGTGTGGAATGCAAAATGAAAAGTTGCAGGAGGTGTATTGCGGCACGGACACAATTTGTGCAATTGATGGCTTGCATTTCAATACCGTCTACAACGCCCGGGTTAAAGCATTTAATGCAGCCGGCGAAAGTCCGTACAGCGAACTGATATGCTTACAAACCGCTGCTGGTACTTTTTTTTTGAGTTTTTTGACCTTTATAAAGAACTCTGGCATTGTATAGTTACTCGAAATCAAAATAAAATTGAGTAGTTTCGGATGAGGTCAGAAACTGGGATTTATTAGGGTGACCAAAAAGCGATGAAAGTGAAAAATGACTAGAGCCCTGTTGAGTAGCCAGTTGGTGCAGAACTCTTCCTGGCGACGTTAATCAGAAGGAATTAGTAGAAGAATGATAACTGGTTTTTTATGCGTTTTGTGCTGTGTAACAGAAGTACAAAACGCATATTGTCACGAGGTTGTCTGTGTGTGTGTTTGTGTGTATGTGTGTGTGTCCGCAGCAACTTGTCCGCAACTTCCAACTCGGGAACCACAAAAGCTA